TACACCAAATACACAAAATAATGATCTTTAAAAAAGCATCATATGACCCCTTTAAGAAAAACTTGTTTATAAGCAGTTCTCATTACAAGTTTTGGAGAATGGTCAGCACACGTTGCATTCCCAAGTGCATGTTAAAGCCACTCAAACTCAAAGCACAATTACATGGAGATGAGTCACTCCAAGATACTGAAAATACCAGATTATGAGCGTGTAAATTTTGCGTGATTTCTATGTAAATGAACAGTGCTGCGCTTCACTCTTAAACATAGAGTGCATATTTTATTCAACTAAATCGCAGCCTTTGAGATTTGATAATCGCACTAAGCCATTTTGCAATTTCCAAAAAATAAAATTAAGTGATGGTATTTAGTTTCTCAGTAGCCTAAAATATGGAATTATGCAATGGTTTTCTACAAACATTGTTTTACATTGCATGAAATATTAGTGCATTTACTGAGTATGAGCTTTTGAAAATATGCAGTGTTTGACTATATTCACTGATGCCTGTTACTGAACACAATAATAGATGTTTCTCCATTACAGATTTTCTTGGAGTTGAGTTGGTGTCTCTGCATTCAGTATATTAGAGCAAATGCATGAGATCCTGCTTGAAGGAAACAAATCACGATGATATCGACGTCGGCACGGCGGTTCCCCTTGACCTGTTTGGAGCTCGGCTATGCGCAGTGCAAGTCATTGACTTTCCCCTCCAGAGGTAAAGGTCGAGGGATAAGGAGATAGATCCGCTCCTGCTGCAGATGATGCTTAATGGACCGCCTGCTCTGGCAGCACGCATGTACAACAGCTGGCCAGTATTGAGTCAGATGCATTTGCTCTGTCACATGTCTCATACTGGGCACAGAAGGTGTGGTGGGCATCTGAAGAGCTCAACAGGGGAAGATCTGGAGACTTTAACTTGAGAAAGTTCTGCTGTCCATCAGCTCAGACCCTTTTAATTCAAACGGCCAGAGCTGATGGAAACTTGTCATTCAATGCCACCGGTCATTAGACACGTCCAGACAATGCCGGAGACGCTTAATGGCAGCATCACAAACTCTTCACCACTGACATTTCCTAATTAGCTCAATCTATTGACTCCTTTATTATTTGTAACCTCTTTGCGTCAGGCACAAGCAGCTATGATAAAGGTTCTGTGTTGTAATTAATGCTAAATAACCTTTTCAAATAGTTTAAAGGTAAAGGGGTAGTTCAGCTTTGTCATTGTCATTTCAAACCTGACCGACTTTCCTCTGTGAAACACAAAAGCAGATGTTCAGCTGAATGATAATGCTCACTATAGATGCATTTATTTGATCAGCAATACAGTAAAAACAGTAATATTGTGAAATATTTTTACAATTTAAAATCACTGTTTTCTATATGAATATATTGTAAAATGTAATTTATTGCTGTGGTCAAAGCTGAATTTTCAGCATCAGTGTCACATTATCCTTCAGAAATCATTCTAATATGCGGATTTGCTGCTCAAGAAACATTTCTTACTGTTATCAATGTTGAAAACAGTTGAGCTGCTTCATGTTTTTGTGGAAACCATGGTGCATTTTATTTTTCAGGATCGATGAATAGAAAGTTCAAAAGAATGGGATTTATTTGAAATAGAACTCTTTTGTAACATTATAAATGACTTTACTGTCACTGTTGATCAATGTAAAATGTGTCCTTGATGAATAAAAGTATTAATTTCTTTAAATAAACAAATAAATCTTATTTACAATTTCTTAAGCCTTGGTCACAAAAAAAAAAAAGCTTTGATCACAGGAAGAAATTACATCTTAAAATGTATTATGATAGAAAACACTTTTTGCAAATTGTAATAATAATTCACAAAATCCCTTTTTTACCGTATTTTTGATCAAATAAATGCAGCCTTAATAAGCTTTTCACATTTTAAAAATCATAATTCTGATTACTTTTGATTAATTTAATGTGTATGCTGAAAAAAAACAAAACTTTCCAACATTTGACTGATCCCAAACAGTTGAAAGATTAGGGTACATACAGTATAATCACACTTTAGTTCTGTATGTTGTTATCTGTGACCATTTAATACCCTTCTGATGAGTGAATAAACTCCGCTATGAATTTATATAACTGCTTGTAGCAAATGACTAAATAAACAGCATCAAGCTTTTTACAACCAAAAGTCTCGAAATTCATCTCTGCTTCATTAACATTTGTCCAAAGACGTACCAAAAACTTAAGAAGATGGAGCTCTCTATGTCATTTATAGATGTTTGCAGCAAAGGTGATATAGTGAGGCTGTTGAAAACAGTCAATCTGTCTGCTTTATGCTATAATTTCTCTCATGTAAAAAGGTTAAATCCGACAGCCAACTTGGCGTTGTCTGTCAGTGTGTTGGTTTCTGACTTCCGTGCACAACAATTAACCTTTAAAGATATATTTATGTCACAATAAATCATGGTGTGCATGCTTCTGATGCATTTTCAAACTATAAACCATAGTACAAATAATGAAGGTCTCCTTCAAGACATAAACACTGATCTATGAAATGCAAGCAGAATTGCACAGGCATCTATACGGCAAGAGTCCCCAGTACGTCAGTCCAGTGTTTCTCAACCAGGGGTCCGTGGACCCCTAGTGGTCCTTGACATAAGGCCAGGGGGTCTGTATAAAGTATGATTTTTTTGTATAAATTTTGTATATTTTGACATGACATGTTCCCATGAAAGAAAAATCCAATATAGCTGATGATATGGCCAAATACTGGACAAGTCAGCTAACTTGAATTATACTTGACTGCATTTGGTCCTCACAAAGACACAAATGATATGAGTCAATTTTGTTCTGGGGGTCCTTGAGGATGGTTCTGAATTGGATTGGGGTCCGGTACGCCAAAAGGTTGAGATTCACTGCGTCAGTCCACTTCGGGCCATTTTTTCTTCACAGCACAGCTATTGTTCCCGTGCTTCATTTGCAGAATATGTTTTAGCAACACTTGTATCTCCACCTGAACCTCCTCATGCAAATAAAAGTGTGTTCTCCTGCAGGGTGAGTGTGTGGTGAAGCAAATTGGATCGAATCTAATTCAGTTCTCACAAGGAATTAATCAATAATGCTGAGGAATGGCTTTCACCAGAAAGTGCCCATCTTGTTTGGAATGTTTTGCGTTGGCAGTGTAAATTGTGTCCAATAAGTCATGCATCTCCATACTGCAGCGGGCCACGGTAATCAGATGTTTCTCTGCTTTATGGCCCTCCATCATTCTCCTTGTTCTGATTTTTTTGATAGTGCAGCACTTGAGAAAGAATAGCTTTTCCATTACAATTTCTCAATTAGGGCTGACACGCTGGCTTCACGCTCAAGAGGGAGCAGAATTCCCAACAGATGGATACGACATCCAGAACACATGCCATAACTCAGGAAAGGCACGTACTCGCTTACACTTAAGGAAGCTTTTCAGATGCTTGAGTCGTCTAGACTCGAGCAGATCCGCCACTACATTTGTCATCTGAATGGCGTCCGCTGCAGATATTCTTCCAGAATGCACCACTTAAAATTGATTTAATCCTGTTTGCAATGCCAAAGGAACTGCTTGCTGTCAAAGAAGCTGGCTTTCTTTCTGCCGTAGATGCTGTAAATGAATGGCACAGGCTTTGTGTTGCTTTATAATGGCAGCGGCGCATCTTGAGTGTTTGGGTTTGTGCTGAATTTGTGCAGTTCATGAAGGCGCCCCACGTCGTAATGGCAGTAGATGTTCCCGCTCATGAGTCCTACAGCATGCATCATGGTCAGGGAGCATTTCAGGCCCACTTTATCAGACTTGTTTGTGTAAACGGAAATATGGGGACCGGAACCTTTCTCCCAGCCTGGCAGGCGAGTGCTAAATCCATTAGTGACCATTAGTGGCAAGCTAAAGAAGCCTCGTTTGTGTTTCCCACCGATAAGACCCTCGCTGCTCCGGGCCGACAGCATCCCTAAATGAGTCTTTCTTGCACGTGCCTGATTGAGAGAGGTCCGGGTTGAACATTGCATGAGGAATAAAGCAGAATAACCCACATTTGTCATTGCATTGGTCAGATTAATCGGATATGGCTATTCCCTCCTTGCTCACGATGGAGAGAACGAACCGACATCCTGCAGAGAAGAATTTGTGACAAACAAGTAGTGTCCTGCTGGTCAGAGCGGCCACTTCAAAAGCCCCACTTTTCATGTTTCTGCGAGCGTGCATGTGCAAACACCCGCACAGATGACAAGCAAAAAAGAGAGGAAAGCACACATTGTGTTGGACGCTCTCCTGCTGTCTCGTATAACAGCTGACTTGAATTTAATGAGTGGCTCCAATTCCCTCTGAATCAAGCCCAGAAACCCGCTCTCGGCCAGCGGTGGCTCAGACACAATTAGATCTTGTTGTGGCACAATGATTTTCTGATGAATGACTAGTTAAGGACTCAGGCAGGTTTTGCAGTGTGCATCGGCGCACTCACACCAAGCAGCTACCTATAATGTCTACGTGCACTAAAAATAGACGATACCTTTCAGTCAACCTAAATAAGTGAAGTGTGGCAATTATCACTCTGCTACATCTTTGAGGCATCGTGTTTCTTGTTGATGCCATCCGTTAAGACAGCTGCACTTTATCAGGCACGGGTCAAATTAAGTTTCACACCATCAATATAGGAATCACACATCGCAACGCCGCCACAATTGCTCACTGGCAGGGATGAGCATGCTGAACTGTGGCCTCGTGCAGCCATTTATGGATGCTGGTCAACGCTGTTTTGACACTTTTCTGATCGTTTCACATCTCTGGGGAAGAAGCGGACATCCTAAAGCACTGGGCCTTTCAGTGAAGTGCATTGTTAAAGTGTGACAAGATGGATGTTTGGGCCCAGCCTGGTGGAAAACCTGATCCCACTTCACACTTAATGGACTGGCAATGCCAGTCCTGTGGGAGCTGAGCAACTGTAAACTGCTAAGCCAAGAGGCTTAGCCAACATTTCCACCATCAAAACAACAGGGCTCGTTTTCAGATTAGAGACGGGCTGGAGGTGGAAAAGAGAGTGGTGGAGATACCAGCTCATCTGTGTTCTCTGCTTTTGGTTTAGAATTTGCTGATGTGATAATATTGGTTGATAATGGTCATATAACATCTTCGTTTTATCGTCAGTGTTAGAAATATAATGCACTTTGCATAATCAGATGAAGTAAAGTAACACATTATTAAATTTACATCCATCAGGGATGTGCACAGACAGTTTTTACATTGCATTTGGCAGACGCTTTTGTATAAGCACCTTACATTGGATTCAAGCAACTTACATTGGATTCAATAATTGCTTTCCCTGGGAATCTAACCCATAACCATTGTGTTGTTAGCACAAGTTTCTACTTATTGAGCTACAGGAAGGCAATGGTTCAAGTTTTTTTAACTTACAAAAGTATGGTAAAAGCAATTCTGTCCTACACAGTTCACACTTTATTCCAGATAAGTGCCATAATCAGTGCAGTTGGAAGAAAGATAAACTTCAAATACCATTCAATAATACATTTTCAGAGAATGTCTTAAACGTATCTGTTACGAATACTGTCCATGGACTTCCGTTCGATCACCACCAGAGGTCACCCTTCCATTACATTGACTCTCGTACTACACAAACTGTTGCATGTCATCCCGGACTACATATCCCATCATCCATTGCACTAATTGCACACAGCTGTAACCAATCACACATTCACTATATAACACTCACTCAGATCCCTTTCAACCTGCCGAGTATTGTTTAGTATCTATGCTGTTTTGCGTAGCTACTTTACGGAGCCAGTTCCCGGTCCTAGTTTGAGTTTCTAGATCTGAGTCTAAGTCTAGTTTATCCTGTTTGTTGCCTTCGTAATTTCGTGTTTTGATCCTAGCCTGTATTTCTCGTTTCTGTATGATCTCTGCCTGCCCTGAAGTATATCACCTGTCTTGGATTACCCCTCTCGTCTCGCCCTGTTCGGATACTGTTTATTCCTCGCCTGGACCATCGCTTGTGTTTCGGATTACTCTTCAGTCTTGCCCCCTATATACCTGTTTGCCATTGTCCGACCCTTGCCTGTTTTGACTATGTTTCAGAATAAAGCTTTGCACATGGATCCGCATGCCTCTCGTCTTGTTTGCCCCGTAACAGTATCAGAGTACTGCTAAGTTAGCTCAGAGGAAATACATGTCAGATTTAATTGCAAAAAATGCATATAGGCCGAATATACTTTTTAATACAATTAATGTCTTTTTAAATCCTGCTCCTAGTGCCTCATTAGAATTCTCCACTGATTTGTGTGAACAGTTTTTAAAACATTGTATCCATAAAGTCGAGTGTATCAGGTCTATCTCAAAATTATTTTCCTCTAGAAATGGCATCTCATCAGAGCTCCCTATTTCTTTTCCGACCCGTGTCACCTTCACAGCTTTATGATATTGTTCTTAGTATGAAGCCCTCATTTTGTCACTCTGATGTTCTGCCTTCTCAGATTTTTAAAGAGGCTTTTCCAGCCTTAAGTCAAGTTGTTACTGCTATTATCAATAGCTCCTTAACAAATGGAATTGTACCAGCTTCTTTTAAACATGCTATAGTCCAACCACTGTTAAAAAAGCATAATCTTGATCGGCATGACCTAAATAACTATAGACCCATTTCTAAATTATCTTTCATCTCAAAAGTTTTGGAAAAACTGTTACTTTTAATATTTTTGACACATTTCAGTCTGGGTTTAGATAATTTCATAGTACTGAATCTGCTCTCTTGAAGGTTACTAAATATTTTACTTTCCCTTTACTCTGGTTCTTGCTGTATCATAATCATGTTTGATTTAAGTGCAGCATTTGATGCAATAGATCATGACATCCTTCTTCAAAGACTTGATCAGGTAGCTGGTTTCCAGGGATCTGTGATGAACTGGTTTGCTTCCTACCTTAAGGACAGATCTTTTTCTGTAAATTTGGGGAATTGTTTCTCATCTCGGGCTCAAATCTCCTATGGTGTTCCACAGGGCTCTATTTTGGGTCCTCTCCTTTTCTCCTTATATATGCTTCCACTCGGTTATATTTTTCAGAAACATAATTTATCATACCGTCTCTTTGCCGACGACACTCAACTTTATTTTCCTGTTAAAAACAATCACTGTTCTATGTCTAATCTATTTGCATGTTTTCAGGGCATTAAATGCTGGATTGAATTTATTTTTTTTACAGTTAAATAATGATAAAACTGAAATAATGGTTTTTGGTCCAACAACCGTGTCTTCTGGCATTGTCAAGCAGCTTGGCCCCCTGTCATCAGGTCATGTACGCGACTGTGTTAGAAACCTTGGCGTTGTCTTTGATCCTATGTTGTCTTTTGATAAACAGATCAGTGTTGTTGTGAAAAGCTATTTCTTTCAATTAAGATAAATTGCTAGAATCAAGAAGATGCTTTCCATGAAGGACCTTCAAACAGTAATTCATGCGTTTATAACTTCAAGGTTGGATTACTGCAACTCACTTTATCTGGGTTTGCCTAAATCATCTCTGGACCGATTGCAATTGGTGCAAAATGCGGCAGCCAGATTATTGACTGGCACTAGAAAACATGAGCACATTACCCCAGTACTCGCCTCTCTACACTGGCTCCCGGTCAAGTTCCGTGTTGATTTTAAGATTTTGCTCTTTGTTTTTAAAGCTCTACATGGTTGTGCTCCCCAATATATTTGTAATCTTCTCATTCCGCATTCCACCTCTAGATCTCTTCGGTCATCTAGCCAATTTATCCTCTCAGTCCCTCGTTCACATTTTAAAACTAAAGGCGTTTGCTGTGGCAGCTCCTAGGCTCTGGAACAGTCTCCCCCTCCACATAAGATCTTCCCCTTCTATTTCTTTGTTTAAATCCTCTTTGAAAACCCATTTTTATTCTGTATGTTTTAATTCTGTTTGAGGGTGTAATATTTTATTTGTCCCTTTGCCTGTCTTGATTGGGTATGTTTTTACTTTGTTTTATATTTGTTGTACAGCACTTTGGTTGCAACTTCTGTTGTTTTTAAATGTGCTTTATAAATAAGTAAACTAAACTAAACTAAACTAATAGACAAATCAGAGTTAACTAGCAGACAGCAGTAGTGCAGTTACAATAATAGAAACTATTTATGCTGTCTGGTGTGCAGAACTGATCTTATTAGCTTACATCAGATTCAAGATACATGTTTCATCAATTCTTACTTTCACTGGGAATCAAACCCATGACCATTGTATTGTTAGCACCTGTTTGAGCTACTGGAATGACAAGTGTGCAATTACAATAATATAAACTATTTATGCTGCCATGGTGTGCAGAACTGGTGTTATTAGGGGTCAAAGAAGCTGGAACTCTATTGTTTACTGTTTTGCCAATATACTTAAGTTGTATAGATCTCAGTGATGATGTTGGTTGATAAAGTTTATATATCCTATGTGACCCTGGACCCACAAGACCAGTCTTAAGTCGCTTGGGTATGTTTTTAGCAATAGCCAAAAAACATTGTATGGGTCAAAATTATCGATTTTTCTTTTATGCCAAAAATCATTAGGATATTAAGTAAAGATCATGTTCCATGAAGATATTTTGTAAATTTCCTACTGTAAATATATCACAATTTAATTTTTGATTAGTAATATGCATTGCTAAGAACTTCATTTTGACAACTTTAAAGGTGATTTTCTCAGAATGTAGATTTTTTTTTTTGCAGCCTCAGATTCCAGATTTTCAAATAGTTGTATCTCTGCCAAATATTGTCCTATCCTAACAAACCATACATCAGTGAAAGCTTATGAAAGCTTATGTATTCAGATTTCAGATGATGTATAAATCTCAATTTCAAAAAAATTGACCCTTATGACTGGTTTTGTGGTCCAGGGTCACATTTTAGTTTTATCGTCAGTGTTTGAAATGTAATGCACATTGCATAATCAGATGACTTTTTTCAAATAATGAGTAAAGTAACACATCACTTTTTAAATTTATACTGTAATAGCCATCCGGGTCGTGCACAAATAGTATTTACATTCCATTTGGTAAATGCTTTTATCTAAAGCGACTTATGTTGTATTCAAGATACACATTTGATCAAATATTGCCTTCCTTGAGATTCGAACCCATGACCTATGTGTTTTTTGAGCTACAGGAAGGCAGTGGTTCAAAGTTTTAAACTTATGAAAGTTTGAAGGCAGAACTATTGTTATTAGGGGACCAAGCTCTGAAGATTCTGGAACTCTATTGTATTTGTACTGTTTTGCCAATATTTCTTTTTCTGCCCTAAATGTGTCTGGGTGTCAGAGACTGTCAGTTTTAGAGATCTCAATGATAATGTTGGTTGATATATCAGATGTTTTCAGTGAAATGAGATGACAGTCATGTACCGAGATGGGATGATAACTAGCCCTGTTTCAAACTTACAAAAGTTTGAAAGAAAGACTGACTTATACAGTTCACCTAAGGTGCTGGAACCCAATTGTATTTGTACTGTTTTGCCAATTATTCTTCTTCTGGGCTAAAAGTGTCTGGGCGTCAGAGACTGTAATCCGCAGACGTGTCAAATTGGTGGGATGGTTCCAAATCCCCCTCAATATTCACACGCACCCACACACATGTTTATATTTGGTGCCTTTAACTACTATGTACTTACATCAAAAAAGATTAATTGATTGGCACAATGTACTTTTCATGTTCATGTTGTATTGCAAAACACTTTTGCTGCTATTGAGGTGGGATATGGTCATGGGTTAGGGACAGATGTCCTGGGATGGTTAAATTTAAGGGGTAGAGGTAGGGTCAACAGTGTAATTATAGATGTAACTGCAGAAATTAATTGCTGTAATTGCTGAACAGCTGTAATTGCATTCAGGTATTTTTTTTTTTAAATATATGTAAAGTACATGTACAGTATCTTTACAGTATGTGCACTGTGATTAATTATTAATTACAATTTTAGTACATAGTAGTTGATGACACTTAATATAAATAGTTTTTTGTTTGTTTTTTAACTCCTAAGCTGTTGGTACAATTTGCATGAAACTTGGCATGCATCAGCGCAAGACCCTCCTGATAAGCTGTTAACAACAGAATTTCAATCTATTAAAGCATTACAAATGTATAGGCCAGTGAAATGGTCTGGAATCACCCATTTAATTGACCTATATCTGCTCAACACAATGTGCAAACATTGTAAAACTTGATACATAAAGATGACAGGTCATTCTGAGGATGCATGTTGTGTCAAAATCTGCCCATAGGGGGCACTATTACTAAAACCCTGTGATAACTCCTCAATAGTTTGATCAAGAAAAAAAAAAAAATAATAATAATAATAATAATGGCCAGCAGCATCCAGTTAAATTGCAGCAGTTGTAGGTTACGTTTGTATAGTGAATAAATGATCATTGTAAAATATAGTGAATTCATATACATTTCAACAATAAAACTCAACTGTTCATCTTTTGAAGTGTTCAAAGCAGGCCGCCCGTCGCCGCCGAATACCGCAGCTAGGAATAATGGAATAGGACTCCGGTTCTATTTTGTGGGTTTCTGGAACCCGGGGCCATGATTAAGAGGGACGGCCGGGGGCATTCGTATTGCGCCGCTAGAGGTGAAATTCTTGGACCGGCGCAAGACGGACGAAAGCGAAAGCATTTGCCAAGAATGTTTTCATTAATCAAGAATGAAAGTCGGAGGTTCGAAGACGATCAGATACCGTCGTAGTTCCGACCGTAAACGATGCCGACCCGTGATCTGGCGGCGTTATTCCCATGACCCGCCGGGCAGCGTGCAGGAAACCACGAGTCTTTGGGTTCCGGGGGGAGTATGGTTGCAAAGCTGAAACTTAAAGGAATTGACAGAAGGGCACCACCAGGAACCCACATTTTTTTTGTCTCTTTTGGAACTATCATGTATTTTTGTAAGCTGTTTGAGCAAACCCGAACTTACAGCATCAGTGGAGATTCCAGACTGTTGATTTTGCACTAAAAACTTATAAGATTTGGAACGATGTATGGCACATATGAGCCATTAATGTTTGGATCTTGATGATTGTTGCTTGTGGCTACTGTATATTTTTACATTATGTCTGTATTTGCCTTCACTGCATGACGCATTCAGCACCAATAGGAACGACTATAGATGCATTTAGCCCCATACACCGTTGCTAATGTAGAAGCTATATGAACTGGAGAAGCTTTTCTTTGCACAAATTCCCATTTAAATCATTTATCCGTGGGGAGAAACCACTCAAACTCATTATTACATAATTAAACCAGCAATTAAAAACATAGCACGCATAGTGTTGTACTACTCCTCGTTGGCTTGTAGTGTTGGATAAAAGAGTAGGGCAGAATGAAAATGTACATTATTTTCTCCAGTCAAGACGAGTGATTCAGGTTACCTTTTCAAATAAGGAATGCATAATAGAGTACTTACTGTTTATGTTTATTTATTGACAGATGCAATTAAAAACATTCTCCTTCCCCATTTTGGGAGAGAAAATCTAGCATATAGTATATATACTATATACCATCCCTTGAAAAAGAAGTGCACTTTAGTATACTTTTATAAATTCTTATTACGCAAATTAAAACTATACACTTAAGTGTGAATTAAATTAAATGTTTTCAAAAACCTACATTCAAATGATTTGTAATTGATTTCAAATTATTTATAGTTTAAATTTACATTAAATGTTATTAGTGATTTTAGAGCGACTTAAGTGGGACTTTAATACATCTGTATACATACATTTAGAATTGACTCTATTGTCTTTGAAATATTGTTTGTGTTACTGCTGAATGTACTTATAAGCATTTATAGTAAACTAAAGTAATGTCAGCTACATTTGCTCTATTATATAATGAAATATATTTATAATTACACATTTTTTCTAATAAGGAGGTTGCAATTTAGTATATTTAAAATGTATTTCAACAGTCTATTAAAGTGTATTTTTGTTAAACACACTATATGTACTTTTTTATAAATATTCTGATTAAAATGTATTTTAAATAAATTTAAATGAAATGGGCCTTCATTTAGAATGAACTTCACAATATTATAAACATGCTTTGTGGCCTAATTTAGTCTAATCTACATTATTTTTATTATTATTATTATTATTATTTTACAGATATTAATTCTGAAGTGCACTGCAGTGATAAACATGCAATACAAAGCATATTATTAAACATCTTCTTTAATCTTCATCTACAAACATTTGATAATTTTACATTGTCATATAAATACCTCACAATATGTTACATTTCAGACTCTTGGAAACTAGGAAATGTATTTTGTAAAAGCAAGCTTATTGAAATGTAGAAGAAAATAAATGTATATTATAAATACAGTATATATTATAAACACATTTAAAATACATTAGCAAATGCACTTTTAATTGGACAACACACTTCAGTTGAAATAAAACAATTATTTTACACATGCTTTAGTATATTAGTCAGTACATCAACATAAGTATATTTCTTTAAAGAATGACAAAAATATAATGATTTAAAATGTATGTTTAAGTAAAACTTAATTACACATTACAAAGTGCATTTTTTTTTAAAGTGTACTTAAGTGTGTTAAGAAACATAGTCTTTCTTTAAGTACACTTAAGTGGCCTTTAATGTAAGTAATATTATATTATCTGCAAGTGCAGATTTAAAAAGTGTACTTTTAAGATTTAAAGTATAAGTGCACATTCAATTAAGCACACTTCTTTTTTTTATAAGGGACAAATTTATGCATATTTTGACACAACTTGGAGTGTATCCTCAGAATGACTTCTGTGTATCAAGTTTTGTAAAGTTAGTGTTGAGCAGATATGTCAAATATATACTGCAAACAAAAGTACACACGCTAAACTAAGTGATAACATTTTTTGTTTGTGTGTGCATAACCTTACTGAAGACCTTTTGGCATCTCTATAGCATTACTGTATATAAATTCAGGGTTAATCCAGATGTTAATGTGGTTATTCGCTTCGTAACTCGGAATGCTTCTCTCTTCATGTTTGACGTGGCAGCAGCAGAATAAGCACTGGTAGCAGCAGTAACTATGAGTGACAGGCCATAGCGGCGAGTGAATAAAGCACTACAGTTGGGCTCCGGAAGTAAAAATCCCATTCATTTTCTCCATGGAGAAATGGATTTTTAACAATAACATATAAACCTTTCAAGACAGGCCTAGCATGAGCTCTGAGGTTGTTAAGTGATGATAGATGCATCTGTAGAAACCACAAGTCTGTGTGATTTCAACTTATATATACAGTATACATACTATATACTGTATATATATATGTGTGTGTGTGTGTGTGTGTGTGTGTGTGTGTGTGTGTGTGCGCGTGTGTGTGTTTAATAGCTGGTGAAGAATTACCCATAATCCTGAAGCAGCCAGTTCTTTGGATTCACCAATCAGAGAAATTGCTATTACCATGGAAACAAGAACTGCATTAAAAGAGCTCATCATCCAATTAAGCATTGCAAATAATATAATGGAGTGGGACTCTCAACACTGTCAAAAAATGTATATTTGTATAGACATCAAATGCATTGTGTTTAAGGAGAAGTGTCTATAAATCAGTCGTTTAAATTGTACTATTGTTTGTGATTTGATTCACAAAGCTTTGTGAGATGAGTAGTTCATTATGCCATCACTACTGTATCTTTTGTCTTTATCTCTGATTTGCAAGTATGTTTTTGCATAGTTTAAGAATTGTTTTAAATCTGAAAAAAAAGAGCAGGTATTATTGAACTTCACAACAAACAAGACACATGAGGCTGAATGAACAGTGATTGGAAACTGAAACTAAAACCCTAATAAAAAATACTAGAAATAAACTAAACATTAACTGACATAAAATAAAATATAATAAAAAGTTAAAGTTTGTGTACTAAAAACTAATCAAAATTACAAAAACCAAAAAAAATTAAAACAGAAAATATAAAACTGAAATCTATTTAAAAATATAAACAAAATGTTTCGTAAAAAAAAAAAAGGATAAAAAGTATATCGATGCTACTGAAACAACACTGGCTAGAACAGCCAAATGTCATGCAATTGATGAAATTAATTGAATTGAATTTTTAATTCATTTTTATTTAAAACATGGCATCTAAGGACTACTTGACTAATTCTGTTTTGCTTTATTTCCAAATGTTTGATTTCATTCATCTCTCATTATACTTTGGGGTGATTTTTATGAAAGTGTGGTTGTAGGACACACACATTTACTTATGCTTGCACAGACACTGAAACATACTGACATATTTTAAATGAATCTAAAGTCTAATTTATGTGCATATATAAATAACTTTAAGACATACATTTACAATTCATTGAATATGAATATTGTATAACTGTCTCGTATTTTTCTAACACAAAACTAGTTATACAAATTAATAAAAGGGGGATTCCATTTGCCTAACAGAAGTTTAAAGATGCTCACCACATAAATGCACATTATTATTTTTATATACCCATGAAAACAAAAATAATAATTGTCACCACAAAAAAAGAAAAATACAAGAAAAAGACAATCAATCACATTATACCAAATAATGTAATGGATAAGTGCATCGCAGGAAATGGGCATTAGGCTGTTCAATAATGTGAAAAATGGATGTGTGGGACAGTCTTATCTGATGGTATATAGTTCATCAAACATTGCCCACAGTTGAAGCTATCACGTAGCTGATGAATAATCCAACTATTTGCGATGAATTCACTCCAAACGGTAACAGTTATCAAGCTCCAGACTTTTCCAAATCAAGTACAGCCATAAGAGTAAGCCAGAAGCCGCAAGCTTACATCGGTCTGGACTTTACATCCATGTTCAGCTCGCAACATGCAGTTAAAGTCACCGATAAAGGGTCTTTAAGTTGAGCTTAAAATGAAACATTTCCCAACCAGGACATTGCACAAACGCATTTCAGCCATGCTTTCTACTGCCGCTGTTCTGCTCACTTCCTCTACTCACCCACCTTTACTTAAGGAGCTCATTTAGGCATCATAGCACACCTAGCGGTGGGGAGGAAAACTACAGATACAAGACTTAGTAACCGGCTTGTCTGTTACAATTGAACTCATGGAACTAATCGTTTTATTCTATTTATAATTGAGTAGAATCGATTTCAATGCCATCACATGTAGTTCAAACATTTGCTTAGAAATGATAACATTTCAAAATGTTTCAGGATTACATCATTTTAAACAAGACACTTTAAAACTTGTAACATCAAAGAGTGCTTTCAATGCAAGACCTCATTGTTTGGACTGTGCTTGTGTACATAAAAAACATTGTGTTTTTCTTAATATCTATGTAAGAAATAGTTATGGTTAGGTTTACAGATGGAAGGAAGAGTGGCACAAAAAAAATATATATATATATTTCACTTCTTTAAAAAACATTACAAGTCTTATTGATCCCAAACTTTTGAGCAGTAGTGTGTGTATATATATATATATATATATATATATATATATATATACAGTGGGTACGGAAAGT